CCCCCCCAGAAGTTATCTTTATAGCTCTTAACGGAGATCTCAGTCTTTTAATTTAAATATAAATGTATCTCAGATGTTTCTTGTAAAAGAAAGTCTGCAGTGTCTAAAAACACAATCCTAAAATTGAAATAAAGAGTGTGCCTCATGCCAAAAACTATTGTTAAGTAGACACTGGATGTAAAAAATGTAGACTACTTCAAGATCTGGTGAATGTGTAATAAATCTATATATCAAAATAAAAATTAATTTGCCAATATATAACTACAGTATAATTAAAGTTGTCTGAAATCAAATGATAGCTTTGTGTGAGGAAAATCACTCTCTCTCTCTCAAAAACTGAGAAAAAAAGTAATTTTCCCTTACGGTGGAAACATAGTTGTGAGCAATTGAATGTGCTGCTTTTACAAATGATTAAGCTGTCATAAATGTGAATTTTCTTTTCAGTTAGCATTGTCTCTTTTTGTATCTTATCTAAGTATTCCTTTGTTTGGGCATTATGGAAGCACAGATGGTCACAGAAGGGGCTCATACATGGACTTTCTAATGTATTAAAAGTTAAATCCAGTACCCGGTGTGTGTGTGTGTGTGTGTGTCCTACGGTGTCCTTTAGCTGGTCAGATTAATCAGATATCTGTAATCCCAAAGTGGATACAGGCAGAGCAGGGCAGACTTGCCTCTCTTCCCTTGTGTTCACTTATATTTGACAGCCCCTCTTTCTCAGTCCTCTTGTGGGAGTTCATGCCACTGCAGCCAGGTCTTGGCAACTTCCACAATCCCCCGAGAATGCATGCAGGAATTACCATGTGCTGCTTCCCTAAAAGCAAATTAAAAGGAAGATTATGGCCTGTTTTTCTGTCAGGAAGTTTTAAACCAGCAGCCCTGAGAGGGAAGGGATTTTATTCATCTCTTTAATCTTAAATAATGTCAAAACACAGAAATTACTTCCTACTTATAACCTCTCAGAATATATATTGTATCAGCCATTGGCCACACTGCTCTCTAGATATTGACATTAACTCCTATTGAATACTAACATTAACATTACCTCAGGACATGTGTGACTGATGTGTGTCTGTGTGAATGCTTGCTGGCCTGTTCTTTGTTTAATGGCCCCTCTGAGGCTGCAAGCTGCTGGACTGAGTGACAGATGGACAGGCAGGGCTTGTGGCCTTAGCAAGATCCCTCTCTACCTGTCTACATTTGGCAATGTCAGGGACAGTGATGCACAGAGCAGTGCACCGTTAGCCCCGCACGGCAGGCCAGCTTGTGCCTATTTTGGTCAGCATGGCATTAGTTCTAATACCTTGTTATGTTTATTGCCTTGGGGCACCAGTCAATCTTTAAATGAGAATTAAGAGCTAATTTCTCTTTTCACATCCCCTCTTTGCACATGTTTTATTGTTATTGCTATTTTATTGTTATTTTACTGTTCGTGTAATGTTCTACATGTATTGTTCTTTATTAATGTTTCAAGACAATTGCTTTGTCTCAAATGTTGGTGATAGAAAGAACCCCAAACCAGAGCTCCCAAACCACTAAACAGATTGCAATTTTTCTGAGTAAAACAACGAACGATAAATCCTGTCATGTGCATTTTAAATGAAAATTGTGGTCCTTACCAGCTGTAAATTTTGTTGGCTCGATTTCCATTTCTGTCACAACGCACTAAGTAGCTCCGCCCATCATGAAATGTCATTGGACTAAAGTGCCGTTCTGTACAGGTATTAGATATATTAATGCAGATTTCAAGTCCTCAAAATTCAATTTCTGAATGATGTATGATGTGTTTACTTGAAGGCAGTGTAAGCATCAAATATGTTATAATTACTTCGCATTGCATTTTTGTTATTAGTAAGGACAGACTGTTACATGGTGGTGGAAAATTGTAGCATGACACCGGTTTAGAACACACTATATGATTGAGGATCAGGAAAACACAAAATGTTGTGCTCCTCAGGACCCTCGGCATGTCCCCTGAGCCGAGGTGGCCCCTAACCCACAGACCAGCCTCATACCCTGTCACCCTCCTGCAGCTGTCATCCCTCTAAGGTCGAGCACCAATTATCTGGCTGTTAGTAGTTTGGCTGTGACCCTGTATGTTTAGTTATTTTTGCACATGACATCTCGGCCAGGCGGTGGGGGCTTTCTCAGAACATGGCCTGGGCTGGTAGCCCCAGCATATGGTCAGGGTGTTGTGCTGTTTTTCGGGAGGTCTATCTGACTGAAGGTGACAGTGGAGAGAAGTAAGGGCAACTGATCCACAGTGAGTGGCAGCACTGAGACAAGAGGCGCCTGTCAGAGAGCCTGCTGCTCAACACATGCTTCTGTACAGGCTCACACACAACATCGCAACATATAGGTGAAACATGCACATGTTTAATGTTTACTTTTGTGCATTTGATAAACCTATGCTAACAAACAAATTGTCATGGTATAATACTGTTTTTATGGATATGCATTATTGTAATACTGTGTTTTTTGGAAACACAATTTCCACAGTTTTTTGAAGTACCATAATGTACTAAATACCATGGTATATGAATTTGGCAATTATTAATTTATAAGAAAATAAAAAACACCAAATACAAGTTTCATTTAAGAGATCATTAAACAATCTTATGGACTGTAGAATAAATGAGCATTGAAGTTTTCCTCTGTGTTTGTGGCATCTGAAGCATCCTTCTTAGCGACAAATGATGTTAAGGAGTAGCAAATGTGAGCTGTCACCAATGATGTTGTGTGCTAATCTCAGTACAATCTGATGGTACTTTTTTTGGAATATCTGTGCTTTCAAACACTAATGCACACACATACATTGGGTTTTTGTGTTTTATGAGGACTCTCAACAGACCATAGTTTTTTTTATACTGTACAAACATTCTGTGGTTTTTACAGTAACATTGCCTTACAAACAAACAATAAATAATAGCATTTTGTAATTTAGTATTAGGGCTGGACGATATGGCCAAAATTTATATCCTGATATATTTCTTAATTTCGGTCGATACGATATAATTCCGATATCGATATGAACACTATTAAAAAAGCCTCAAAAAAACGGCCAAGACCGGCCACAACAGATGTCTGTACCTACAAACTTATGAAAAATTAATTGGCCAACTCTATGAAACTTACTCCTATAAAACTATATAATATTTTTGCAAATAAATACATGTTCACCTTTTATTGGTATTCAGCCTTCATACAAACAAGAAATGTTAGTATGATTATTATAAACTGTTCTGACCAGCAGAAATGTCTGTTTTATTATCCATGTGTGGGGACATTTGGTAGGACACAACGTAGGGAATACCTGGACCACATACTCACACACAGAGAGACATATTACATCTTATCTTAACACTGATCTGATCCAACACAATCCAACAACTGTTGGTGTTCGCTGGTGTTTGTTGGGGCAGTTATGCTTTGATAGTTTTGAGTGAAGGCATGAACCCTGATGAACTACATTTCCATCCCATAACTGACAGCGATGAGTGTGCTATACATGAGAAGATAGAATTGGGAGATCAGCATGTGACACTATGGTTAGGGAGCTGGGTGGACAAAGGGATTGTCACATGACCAATGCGGGTCAGGCGGACAAGAGTGAGGAAGACTTGCCATGTTTGGTCCCTCAGCGAAGCAGAGATGAGGGTCGGTGTGAACGCAGCCTTGTTGAAGAGTTCAGCACCGTGATGGACAGCAGCAGATCCAGCTGCACTTGTCACTGGCTGTCAAGAGCCTGTCCATCCAGCACACAAGAGCGGACAACAGGCGGGGGAGCGGGTGGGGGGTGTAGGACGTTGATGTGGATGTCAGGGTGATGGGGGGGGGTTTGGGAGGTGGGCAGAGGGGTCCCGTCAGCAGCAGCTGAGTATGTGAACAGGTGTGACTGGATGTTTCCAACAGCAGTGACATTTACCCTCTGCCACAGTCTGCCAAAGCCACACTTTATCTCTATCAGCAGAGACTGCACAGATTTACTGCTGTGAAATATTATAAGTCTGTCTGAACGACTCACTAGAGGGGTACTACTGAAAAAAGAATGTCACACGCATGATCTAGTACCGTGAACAAGACAAAACATACGTGTCAAACATGATACAGTTTGAACAAGTGCCATGTAGCAGAGTAGAAGTACATATTGGTCAGAGCTGTGGCCTGGCAGTTAGGAGACTTCAGGCACATTAATGTACATGCTTTTGTTCTCATCATCTTGCTACTTTTGTTGTGCATAAAAAGCTCTAAAAGAGTCAATGTCATGTGATCCACAGGTAGCACAGGACAGAAGGCTGGAACGATGCCAGATTCACCTGCTGATGTCAAAACCCAGCCCAGGTCAACTCCGCCCACAATGCCACCTCCACCCCCTGCTGTCAGCCAGGCAGCCAATCGTAACGCATCATTTACACCCACAACAAGTAAGTTGTCTTAGTACAAACATGCATACATTTGTTTTTGGAACTTGCTGAATTCACGAGATTGACCGACCAACAATGTATTGTGATGTGCCAAGTGTATGTGTGATTGGCAACATTTTATAGGTAGCTAACTTAATAATAACACATTGGAGGCAACTCTATCATCACCTTGAATACTGCAGTTTATTACCACCACAGTAGCACCACAGATAGTTCACCCAAAAATTAAATTTCTGTCATTAATTACTCACCCTCATATCGTTCCAAACCGGAAAGACCTTCGTTCATCTTCAGAACACAAATTAAGTTCAGAACAAAAATTATATTTTTGATGGAATCCGAGAGCTTTCTGACCCTTCATAGGCAGCAAGGGTACTACCACATTCAAGGTCCAGAAAAATACCAAGAATATCGACAAAATAGTTTATACTATGTGCGCAAAGAAAACTTGACTTTATTCAACAATTCTTCTCCTCCGCGTCACCCTAGTGCCATTTTGCCATTTGCTTTCCTCTGAACGTAAACAAGGCACAGCACATGCGTGTTTTAGGTCAGCAGCACCACGAGCATGTGTTGTTTACGTGCAGATGAAAGCACGCACATGCGCCGTGATACTCTCCAAAATGGCGCTAGGAGTGACGCAGAGGAGAAGAATTGTTGAATAAAGTCGTTAGTTTTGTTTTCTTTGTGCACAAAAAGTATCCTCGTAGCTTCGTAAAATTATAGTTGAACCACTGATGTCACATGGACTATTTTACCGATGTCCTTACTACCTTTCTGTGCCTTGATCATGGTAGTACCCTTGCTGTCTATGGAGGATCAAAGAGCTCTCGGATTTCATCAAAATATCTTAATTTGTGTTCCGAAGATGAACGAAGGTCTTACGGGTTTGGAACGACACGAGGGTGAGTAATTAATGACAGAATTTCCATTTTTGGGTGAACTATCCCTTTAAAAATGTACAATGGGACAATGCACTTAATAAACATGCTTATTAGTGTAATGCCAGAACATAGAATAATTTAAATGAGTCAACAAGAGTTATTGTCACGTTCAGAGTATTCAAATAGTACAGAATGCCCTTGCAACATGACCAAGAGTGTTTGAGAGTGTTTGTGTATGATAGTTTGAGCCATTGTCTGGGTGTGTGAGTGCTTAGGATACACAGCAAGAGATTTGTTTACTGCATACGGAGGGATTCGCAGGCAGCATCAGGCTCGACAGGGCTTGGCAGATCTCGCTACCCTATATAGCAATGACGGGCCTTGTTGTTTCACCTGTTCCATGGGTCATAGCGTAGCCTGCTTGCCACTCTAAAACCAGAACACAAGTGCGGGGGTCACATGGTAAACCCACATGTGTCCAGCCTGGAATGGCAAGATAAAACGGGGCACAAGCGAAATGAAAGACCCTGTGTTCTGCAACATGAAGCCATGCACACACTTACCCAGCAGTGTGAACATGCCACCGAACCTGGAGCAAAGCTAGCTTCCGAGGTGAGTTTGCACAATCACATGCTTCTCAATGTCCCGAAGGATTATGGTCTGTAACTCTAAGCCCCCATGCTGTGTCCACTGCTCGCATAATGTTTGTTTATCTGTGGTCATGGCTTCAGGTGCAGGTAACATAAGATATAAGGCCTACTGTTAGGGAGAAGGCACTCAACTATCAGAAGCAAGAATAAATAGTTCAGGGATGAGATGGGGATGGAGTGGAAGTGTTGATGGGGCGGCCTGGACTCAGAAAGCTGCAAATCTGCTCTCAGCTGGTGGACATGTGCACAGCCTGATTTAGACGCACACCTGCTGTTGGAATAAAAGTATCCCAGTCCAGGGGGCTATTTTTGGAAACTCTTTAACACGTTCCTCTTATAGTTGTGTCTTAGTGAGTGAGTGGGTGAGCAGTGGGGAGCAATAGATGAGGTGGGCGGCATGTGTGTATGTCATGGAGAAAGATAGTGAGAGAGAGGTTGCTGCTGGTCCCATTTGTGGTTTGTTTGTTCAAAGTAGAGAATGAAGTGAAGAGTACAGAGCAATGAGCTGCGTTACTGTCATAGTGTATCTGTAGTTTCAGTTTGTTTTTTGACCATTCTCGGAATGCATGTGCCCTCTTCGTGCTATGTTGGAGCTTCCTGGAGGGCGCTTCCCAGGACTGAGATGGAGAAAAAGGAAAGCAAAAGAGTTTGGCGTGACTTAAATGATGCTAATACAAACAGTGGCTCTCTTTCCTCAGTGCTGAACGGGAGCAGTCATTCACCCACAGCACTAAACGGAGCTCCCTCAACCCCCAACGGCTTCAGCAATGGACCGGCCACCTCCTCTACCGCTTCTCTGCCCACCCAGCAGCTTCCCCCTGCCTGCGGAGCCCGACAACTCTGTAAGCTTAAGCGTTTCCTCACCACACTGCAGCAGTTTGGCAACGACATCTCGCCCGAGATTGGAGAACGTGTACGCAGCCTGGTGCTGGGGCTAGTGGTGAGTGTCTAATGGCTCTCTTTATCGTTGAACTGTGTGTACTGTCTACAGTTCTTTTCTTCACTGGGAGTTAAGTGGATTTATTTTATTTATTTTTCTTATCAGAACTCAACTCTAACCATTGAAGAGTTCCACTCCAAACTTCAGGAAGCCACAAACTTTCCCTTGCGTCCCTTTGTCATTCCATTTCTCAAGGTAAGAACAGGCATAAAAACATTAATCTCATACATACACAGTTTTTTCTGCCAGTAATCATGTATAGAGAGACTTTGCATTGCAATGTTCTGGCCAAGAATTGTTCACTTAGGCCCTGTCCACACAGAGGCGCGTTTATACGCAAACATTTTGTATCGGATTGGCATTTCGTCCAGACAGATCCGCCGTTTTGGGAGTGTGAAACCACTATTTTTTGAAACCGGGTCCAAGAGTGGATAAATCTGAAAACTGTTAATTTTCTAATAACAAACAAATCTCTTGCATATAATCAAAGATTTGATAGCATGAACCATGCAAAATTTGTCCAGTGATCCCGAGTTCGTTTTTGGAAACGCTCATTGTAGCAGTCAGGGAATTTGTTTCCCTACAGACTGATAAAAAAAACGCATGCACCCTGCTTTGTAAAACCAGCCAATCAATTTGCATTTCGAAAAAGTTCTTGGCATTTTTATGTAATATGCATCAGACGATGGGTGAACGGTCTGTGGATGTGCTGTCTAAAGTGGAGACTACTCCACCAGAGTTCTTAAAAGTCTTTCTTTATCTGTATGAGGAGCTCTTCCTTATGGTGCACCATATGGGAAGGGGAGGAGGAGGAGGGTAGTGGGACTTTGAGACAGACAGGCAAAGTGACAAACCAAAAGATGGTAGATGGATTGCAGCCAGAATCGGCACACACGTGAACAAACTCACTCTGTATCTCACCCTGACCCCAGATACATAGTTTTCTGTATGTGTAGATGAGTGAAGGCCATTTGATAAAGCATCCTCAGCCTCTTCCAACCCCCCTGCTCTGCTGTGGCTGGGCTGTGCTGATCTAGAGCTCCATATGGCCATCATTTGTGATTCATTAAAATTGGCACACTTGTGTTTACCCAGAGTGGAGAGAAGTGGTGTGGGCCAAAGAAGATTTCCTGGCAGATGTTGCAGTGGGTGCTGTAAGCAGCACAGCTTTCCGTTGCTCTGCCACTGTTGTCTTTACACTGATCCCTTTCTGTCCTCAGACATCACATAGATCCAGGGCTCATACACATACACAGATTCTCTGATGCATTGTAATTCTTTCTCAAATGATTCTGCATTGATGTACACAAATACATGATCAGAATGTGAAATTAAATCACTTGGAAATCACTATGTTGATTGCATACTTAATTGCAAAAGATTTAGTGACAAAAAATATGATGCATCATGACTCCCTGAATCACCCCAACCCAAACACACATGTGAATACACAGACATACATATGTCATTTCTGTGTCTGGTAAACATCCAACCCATTCACATGCTTTACTACTGCAATGCATATAGTGATAAAACAGATTTAAACTGTCAGTCCCAAGTTGGGTGCTGAAAGAATGTTCTAGTACTGAAGAGGCCTCAAGTCAGATGCCACACTCCCCTGACCAGCATAAAATATAGGGACACTTAGAGACAACAGTTCAAAAACACATTCACAAATGTAAAAATCTAATTTCAGCATATAGATATTACCCATAACTGGTTGTAGAGAGATAATGTATCCATTGACCACAGAATGGAAGAATCAAATGTTTGGTGTGGAAAGTTGCCTTGGAGGCCCCCCACCCCCCATCTTCCACTATGCATGTGTGCATGTTAGTGAGATATAAACTACACAAGACATATCTCATAGTGTGAGTGTTTTATTCAAAGCAGAGCACTGTGGTACATGGCACCCAGCACATTGCTCACAGGCTGCTGTCAAAGGCCTGCAGAGTGTTGATGTTACACATCTGTATCATCAGCCAGCTGTGTAGTGTTATACTGACAGCCAGAGAGAAAAAGACAACAAGAAAGCAAGGGTGAGAGAGAGAGAGAGAGAGAGAGAGAGAGAGGCAGCACAGTTCTCCTGCAGACCTCAGCAAGGCACAAACACATGGTGGGCCAGAGAAAGTGTCTGTTTTATCTCATCCTCTTTCTTTCTCTCTCTCATAACACAAACCCTATTAAAAGAACAAAATAACTGGCCATCAGAATATGCTGTGTTTTAAATACTGGTCAGCTTGGGATGCTGATGTACTAACATAAGTTGGACTAACTAATCTAAACATCAAGCCTTATTTGGTTAACCAGCTTCAGAAAAACACATTATAGTTGACTAGATTAACCAGCATTGACTAGCATAATCCAACGATTGCCCCCACTAGGAATATTAACTTGCATAACCATCAAGACTTACTTTATTAACCAACTTATGCAGAAAGCCTTTCTGGTCAGCATTTACCAATAATGTCAATCACAAACCATAAGCTAGACTAATACCAAACAAGGACTAAACAGCATAAACCAGCCTGCATCACCAAAAGACTTGTTAACTAGCTTAACTTGGCTTGATCAGAAAGAACTGGTTAACCAGCTTCACGAACCAGATTTTGCTAGTGGTCCACTCAGGCCCGGCTCCAGAATCAAATCGCTGAGGGTGCTTTTTAAATTAGTGAGGGTGCTTTAACCTTAATATATAGGCTAGCTATATAAAGGTTTTAGTGCCGTCCATTGCTATTGCGCAAAGAGTGCTCCGTTTATCACTAAAAAGCTGTCACTCATCTTAGTTAATCACAATCTCACAAAGTTGTTATAATCAATGAAGTTCTCTACGCTGCACAATGAATATATTATTTACATTGCACCTACTAAACTTCGTTATAATTAGATGATTCGTGCTGTTTCGTGCAAATACTCAGGCGATTTGAGCGGTGAGTGGATTCTAAAATGCCTTTGATTGACCGTTGAGTACAAGGAATCAACAGATATGTCTGTGATTGGCTATTACTCAACGCTGCAAAACACGTTGAAATAGAAACCAATCTCCAAAGTGCAAACCATAAAGCACTGGATAGTTTGCCAAATCTGCAATGAAATGCCATTATTACAGCTTTAACTGAGGGTGCTATTTATTTTGTTTGAGGGTGCTTAGTACCCTCTAGCATCCCCGTAGAACCGGGTCTGGGTCCAGTGGTACCAAACCAGCACTACTGATCCTGGAGAAATGCTTTCCTTTCTCACCCACATTTTATTTCCCTTTCTGTCCGATAGGCTAACTTGCCCCTCCTGCAGAGGGAGCTGCTTCACTGTGCTCGGATGGCTAAGCAGACCCCAGCCCAGTATCTGGCCCAGCACGAACAGCTGCTGTTGGATGCCAATGCCAGCTCTCCCCTGGACTCCTCCGAGATCATGCTGGAACTCAACGAGCATGGCAAGAGACGTACCCCGGACAGGTATACACACTTTAACGCACACAAACTGGTCTTTCTGTGTACCATTTTCATAACAAATACCTTAAGTCATAAATATCTACAAAGTCAAGCAAAAGGTAAAAATGTAGACAGCTACGGTTAATGTCAACACAACCTTGCCCTGGGCATACTTCTTCCTGTCTAGCTTCGAAATGCACACACACTCAATGTAATGAGTGGAGGGTGTGGGAAGGTTAGGCCACACAGAAGGAGACCATGAGGAGGGTAGAGAGAAGGTGGAAGTGAGTGTGGCGTGTCTGCCAGTTGCCTGTGGAGCAGAAACAGAATGAGATGCTCTAACATCACACAAACGCATATGCATACAAACAGACTCGATACATTGGCAAGACATTTAGAACTCTTGACAATCAAAAAATTAATTGTGGAATTTAAAGCACCAATATTTCTGTTTGTCTCCTCCTTTTGTTTTTCTTCAACTCTCGCATCCGCACTGTCTCCTGCTAATTCCCCAGTAGCTGTCCATATGTCAGTGATGTGTCCAGATGGTGATCTTGCTGAACCCCTGCTTGAACTGATCCGGGGGGAGGGATGAATGGAGAGAGAGAGGCAGAGAAAAAGAGAGGGGTGGGGGTAGAGGAATGGGCAATCGCCCAACTTTAATCCATACACCTCCATCTCTGAAGCCTAGGCTTACCATATCACGGCAAGGGCCCCAGCTGTTGCTTTGAATTGTGGGATATCTGGCCACAACTGCAGAAATGCTGCAAAAGGTTGGAAGTTTTTAGGTTGTTGTGGAGGCGGGCATGATGGGGTGTCGTACATGCAGCCAGATTCAGATGTCCAAGCCAACTGCACTCTACTCTCAAGTGCAAGAAAACAAGCTTGCACAGTCCTCGCACACACATGTATTTCATGCTCGTAGAAGGGAGAGGAGCTTTAGCCCTGAATGCCTGGCTGCTGCACTCAGCTAAACAGATTATTATCAACACTGCAGCACAGGCCAGCCAGATGGCTCCAAAACGCCAGTGTCACTGAACATCTGCCAAAGGGAGCAGCTCTCACAGTACAGCAGCTCAGGAGAGAGAGAGAAACGGGTGAGAACGGGAAAGATTAAGAGGTTGGGATTTAACTCATTTTCTTGGTATATGAAGGCTAGTCCACATATGGCTCACAGCTGGCCTCAACATTTGGACACATGAGTGGAGGGGCATAGAGAAAGAGGGAGGTGGGATGGGTTAGACTGCAAGAATGCAAAACTATCAATAGCCCTCTTTCCTCTTGAAAATGTCCTTTTTACAGCATTTCTACAATCTTTATAACAGGACCAAAGAGAGTGCAGGGGACAGGGATGTCTTGCACCCGGAGCACCTGGCCAAACGTCCATGCACAGTGAGCCCCAGTCAGCGCTTCAGCCCAAGCAGTGGTTTACCTGCTCACCCTCCCCCCAATGGCCTACCGACGCATCCACCCAATGGCCTTCCACATCCTAACCCTCCTGCCCCACAGCACTACCGTTTGGAAGACATGGCACTCGCCCACCACTACAGAGACGCTTACAGACACGCAGAGCACAGGGATGTCCGGGATCGTCACCGGCAGACAGGTCAGGGTGATGTAGTGTATAGTATAATAAACCAATAAGCTACTTGGGGCCATGTTTACAGTGACTTTACCAGAGTTAAAGGGTTAGTTCACCCAAAAATGAAAATTCTGTCATTAATTACTCACCCTCATGACGTTTCAAACCTGTAAGACCTTCGTTTATCTTCGGAACTCAAACTAAGATATTTTTGATGGAATCTGAGAGCTGTCTGACCCTGCATAGACAGCAACACAACTGAAATGTTCCCAAGTCCAGAAACGTAGCAAGGAGACCTGTAAAATAATCCATGTGACATCAGTGGTTCATCCGCAATTATACGAAGCTACGAGAATACTTTTGTGTGCAAAAGAAAAAGAAAAAAACGACTTTATTCAACAATTCGTCTCCTCCGCATCACCCTGGTGCCATTTTGGAGAATATCCGCTGGACGTAAACAACTTATGCTGTTCTGTGTCAGCTGCGTCATGCAGATATTCTCCAAAATGGCACCAGGGTGATGTGGCGGGTGAACTAACCCTTTAAGTGGTGTTAAACAAGAATTCAAATTATACACAGTCACAGGTGTACATATATACATGCTGTTTTACAACAAATTTTAATATGGCTAATCCTAACAGAGTTTATGGTTTAGACTTATTATTTTGAATGGCAGGAGTGTAAAGCATTAAAGAATTGCACATACATAGACATGGTTTCTCTCTATTGTGATTACATTGTGCGTATGCTAATGTAATGCTGTGCTTGTGTTACAGCCGTGCATGGAACACGTCAAGAGGAAGTGATTGATCATCGGCTGACAGACCGCGAGTGGGCTGAGGAATGGAAGCACCTCGATAACGTATGTGTGACCAGATGCTTTGTTTGTTTTTTTTTATCTTACATACATAAAGCAGAGAGCATAATAGTTGATAACTCTGATGAGGGAAAAACAAGTTATATCAGATTAATGTGGTTCGAATTAGTTTTGGTTGCTGGTCCAAGGTGATCTAACTACCATAACCAACTTGACCAAGATGGTGCACCAAGTCAAAAACAAGGTCAACTAATGGACATAAGTAAGTGGTACAGGAGGTAAAATGTGTGAAAGACAAAACTGAAGAGCACCATAGTGGAGTGGACATTGACAGACATAAGCCGTGTCAAATATTCGATGGACACCTGATAGTAGATGACTTAGCTCAGACCTTTTCTGGATGTCTTTGTTATGCTTTTTGCTCACCTCACCATTGCCTCTATACAGACTTACATTCAGACACATATTGAATAAAAAGGCCACAGATGGAGTGAGGAACCCAGTGGAGGACGTTCCCACTGGAGAGAGCAGCTGAGACAAGGCTTGCAGTCTGTGAAATCAGGCTTGTTCTGGACTGTATCCAAATCTGAAATAAATACAGCCAACAACATACTCAGAGAGTGAAGAATGGCATCACATGGATAATGGGAGATCTTATTGATGGGAGGTGGGTGCTTGGGGAAGATGGGAGGAAAGAGGAAGAGAGTGAGAGAAGGCTGTAGAAGCATAGGGGAAGAATTAACTGTTTTGGCTTCTCCCACTGGCAGCACAGCTGTTGCAGGGCTATTGTTGCTTAACCACTCAACCGCTCACTGCACCACTGGATTACACACACACACACACACACTCACAAAAAGCGTTCGAAATACCTCATGCTTGTGCTGCTCACTACTGCATCAGCCCGTCAAATAAAATATAGCATCTTTTTTTATTAGTAATGGCCAAAGAAGTTGCAATGTGGAAGTGTTATTGTGGACTTTAGGATGTAACTGGTCTAATGTTGGTTCATAACATCCTCTTCTACTATTTCCCATTTCTTTCTATCTCTCTATAGTTGCTGAACTGTATCATGGATATGGTGGAGAAGACGCGGCGTTCCCTCACCGTGCTGCGACGCTGCCAGGAGGCGGACCGTGAGGAGATGAACCACTGGATCCGTCGCTATAGCGATGTGGAGGATATGAAAAAAGGTGGGAGCTCCACCCAGCGACCTCCTCCTCTTCCTCCCCACCACAACTCTTCCTCCTCCAACACTCCTAACAGCAGCGACACACAACCGCTAGGTACATGCACCGCTGCAGATGCAGCCGCAGATGCTCGGCACGCAGCATGTCTCACACATTCTTAGCGACCACCCTCGTCTAAGTGGTTTCCATTAGCCAACACACCTCTCAGATTAATGTGATTTAAAACTAAACATAACAAAAATCCGACCAGTCTTTTTAGGTGACCAGTCAGAAGTCAGAAAGAGCTTTATTACCAACTTATGTTTACACACACAAGGAATTTGACTTGATGACAGGAGCTTCCAGTGCAGAAGAAAGTACGGACATAGTGCAACATACTGTACATGATAGTGCAGACATACACAGGAATAAAACAGTAGAAATGGGATATAACACTAATATAAGTAAAATAAATAAATAATGCACTATATACAGACGTAGAAATGTAGGAAAAAATTTTAATTGTTTAAATGAATGTACCGATGTTATTTACAAGTGTGCAGTTTACATATGTACCTCGAATTCGAATAGTCGAATTCTATGTATAAATAATGTATAAATATGTCATTTATGATGGGAAATGTATAGGCATGTGATCCCACTTACCTTACCTTACAGTTTATCTTTGCCCTACCATTTCTTGTCTATAGCCACTGCCAAGGCATGGGGCAGCTAATTCTTGTCTGTCACACCATGTCCTAACCCACCCTGTTCCTAGGGACTCAAAGTACTGTATTTGGGTGTCTCTGTAAGCTAGCACATCTGATTCCACTAAAAAAAGTAATTAGTAAAGTGATCTATGATTTGAATTAGGTGTCATGTAAGGGAGATATCCAAAATGTTCAGTACTATAGGTTCCTGAGAATAGTGTTGGGAAACACTGTCCTAACCAAGCACAACGAGTAATTTTTATTGTCACTGAAAGCAAAAATAATGCACGACACTGCCAGACACAACATATTCAATGTTTAAGAGGGATTTTGTACCAATGAAATTTCACTGTAATAGCGTCTACCCAGTGTAATGAAACAGACAAATAAAACAAGCAGCCAAGTAAACTGTCGATATTTATGATTGCAGTAATTAGGACTAAACCATTTTTTGCATCACATCTGGTAAGGATATCCTTGTCAACCTCCAAAAGCATGTCATGATTTCAAAGTTGCACTATATTGTTTTGTTTTTTTCCACGTCTAAGGGAGTATACAATGCTTTTCTCTCATCCAGGTGAACTCAAGTCGCTTTTTTCATGTTCTTTTACAGAAATCCACAGAGACTTCCTGCACCGGCCCCCGTCAGGCTACCTACCCGAGGAGATCTGGCGGAAGGCTGGTAAGTGCATTTGGACAGTGCATTGTCTACTGTCACCTACTTCCATACGTGCACACAGACATATGCACACAGGCCTGCAGGGACTCACAGCCGTAGTTATGCAAGGCCAGGAGCGGGAAAGGCCGTTGAGTTCCGTTATTGTTAAGAGCTCTCCATCTGTCACGACCATGAAAGACAACAGCAGTTAAAGCTGCAGTGAGAATGCAGTAACCTGCCGCAGTCAACAGCAGAGCAGCACAGGTAGGGCCAATAAACCTGACCCTGCCCGAAGAAAGAAAGAAAGAAAGAGAAAGAAAGAAAGAAAGAAAGAAAGAAAGAAAGAAAGAAAGAAAGAAAGAAAGAAAGAAAAGTGAGAGAAAAGCACAGCTGGATTGTTCTTGTTCACTAGAGTCTGTTTTATTACTGTAGTTAGATATATAGTAAAAGGTTTAGGGGGCTGTACATAAGCCTGCTTGCCCTCTGTGCCATGTAGGTCACACACAATACTGATGGGGTCAGCCAGAGCACAGGTGGTGTCACTCGCCCAAAGGTCAGAGATCAAAGGGCACTTATTAACTGTGACCCACACTAGTAACATTACAGCTAAGTAAAATCAATATGCCATTACTAATTTAAAATGCTGGAATAATGCTGCTGTTGTCTGCAAAACTTAGCTGCAGTTTCACTGTGACAAAAGCCTTTTTAACTGCAGTTGTTTTTCATGCAGGTGCTACAAGTATCCCGCTCTCGCCAGCATTAAAGCAACTCCAGAACAAGCAGGGTGAGTAACAGCACCCGCATTACAAACCAACCTGCTCTTTTTTCATTTTATTGCATAGATGGCCCTGTATAATTTTTCAAGTTATGGCTAAAAAAAAATGTGCAGGTGTTTCTCCTAAAATACCTAATGCAAACAAATATTGACATGTATTAAGAGTGCAGAACTATTAAATTAATGTGGACAGCATAGCTCAAACAAATCAGACTTTGACGTATTTGATGAAAAATATTTGAAATCCTATTGAGATTTTTTGGTGGAGTGTAAACCATAGTTTAAAGCATTGACAGTTCTCTTCTGAAACTTCCAGAGGTAAACCGAAAACTGAGATTAGCTACTAAAAGTGAGACTACTAGGATTTACGGAGGACCTTTTTCGGAGGATAAATGTTTTTAGAAACTGCCAATTCATTGCAGTCTATGGGAATTAATTGAGATATTAAAGGAGTGCCAAACATGAATATTCTTACCTGTGGGTGTCTAGATTTTCATGTCCTTCGGCCTTTGGTGAGGCCTGTCTTTGAAAATGCAAGAGAATAGCAAAAGGAAAAAAAAAAACACTGTCATATCCCTGTGGGATTAAAACGTTAATATTGCCGCCCCATGTTTTCCATTATGTGCCAATTGCTCTAGCATCTGCTCCCAAGTCTCCTTGATAAAAATTAATTAAATTTGCAAACTAATTTTAGTGGTGCATGTTCCGATTCTGATTAAGCAGTCTAGTGTTTTCAAAGATACAGAAAAACTGGCGAGAACCAAAAAGATTAAGAAAAAAGCAAAGAAGTGAAGAATGAAGGCAGAGACAGGATGAAAAAATGAGGAGATGTGTGTGGGAGGTGCAGAGAGAACAAACTGAATACTAACTAGCTTTCCAGCTGAGACAGTAGTGATGTAGATGAAAACACACACACATTCACTCAGTCAGTCAGTAGCCTGAGGCAAAACTCTATGGAGAATTGAATGGAGGGTGTGTTATGACAGATATTTATGAGCGGGTTCCTCACAACCAGCTTTCTAGAGTAAACACACTATGGGGCAAAGAGTATAGAGCCCAGACATGTGAAAAATCTGCAATAAGAATGTTTGTGTGTGTGTGTGTGTGTGTGTGTGTACACCCTGCAGCAATACACATGCATTCACCAAGCACATCATATCCTGACAGATTCTGAAATCACCCACATTCTGTCTAAACCATTACCCCACAAAAAAGTAGACAGCATTCTAACATAAATGGAACTTTAAAAGTGACTGTTTTTAAAGATTCCGCATAGGAAACTCCTTATGTGAGGTGCATGAGAATTTGGTATTTGGTGTTAGCATGTTGCTAAACTAACAACGTGATACTAAAATAATCATTTCACACAAAAATACTGGGTAAAATAATTCATTTTAAATTTTATTTTACAATGATTATTTTCCATACTGAATGCAATACAAATGTATATATAATTATTTGTAGTCTTAAAACGCCTACCATTTTAGATACATTGATCTGCTTGTCACAACGCAACTCTGTTGAAAAAACCAGCATATGCTGGTTAGGTATGTTTTGATGCTGGGATGCTGGTTTAAGCTGGTCCTTTGCTGGTTTACGCTGGTCCTTTGCTGGTTTAAGCTGGTCCTTTGCTGGTTTATGCTGGTCCTTTGCTGGTTTATGCTGGTCCTTTTGCTGGTTTATGCTGGTCCTTTTGCTGGTTTATGCTGGTCCTTTTGCTGGTTTATGCTGGTCCTTTTGCTGGTTTATGCTGGTCCAAACCAGCAAAAGGACCAGCATAAACCAGCAAAGGACCAGCTTAAACCAGCATCCCAGCGTCAAAACATACCTAACCAGCATGTGCTGGTTTTTTCAACAGGGAAACTGGGGTTGCTTTTTCAGCAAATGATGGATGCAATGCTGCATTAGATTTTGGCCAAATATTTTAAGACAGCATGCATCTATTGTTTGGGACAGCCTTCACATGGGAAATGTCACTCTGATGCCCTAAAATGTGGTTTAGGTCACCTAGCTCACTAGGTTTTAGAATTTATGTTAAATGTTCACATTTAAAAAGGCCAAGGAAAGACAATGGGGCACAAGGAACCCTAATGTTCAGAATGCTAATGAGTCAGGTGTTAGATTTCTATTTTAGACAACACCCGTACACACATTCACACCTGCGTGTCCTGAAAACACACGTAGGCCTATATATGTGCACACACAAACATTTACTCTCAAACAATGGCATTTGGTAGAACAATGGTAGAGCAAGGTTTGCCACTAGTCATCCTGGTTTTCCTTCTTCTATATGGAACGATCCAGCCTCAGTAATGAAGTTGTGCATTTGTTCTGCCATTTATCCACTTAGTAAAAAAATATGAAATATTTAATAATGTATTGTTAGGTACATAGGCAAGCTTGTGAACAACCTTTCAAGATGTCTACTGCCTATCAACACTAGAAATAATTGTAACCACTGTTGTTCGGATCAATTATTAATAGCTTATTTTTCTGACAGAATGTTTTAAATCTTGGATGATGTACATCTGTTTGGAGAGATGCAACTAGCTGAAAGCTTTGAGTGCCTCAATAAAGGATGTTGTGAGGAACAGCAGTGGTCTACGGGGATAATGTCTTATTTTTTTCTCTTGATATTCCTTCCTCATTTCCAGAAGAGGCAGTAAATGAAGTGAAGAGACAGGCCATGTCAGAGCTGCAGAAGGCGGTGTCGGATGCTGAGAGGAAAGCTCACGAGATGATCTCTGCTGAGCGCTCCAAGATGGAGAGAGCTCTGGCCGAGGCTAAGAGACAGGCCTCTGAGGATGCACTGACTGTCATTAACCAGCAGGAGGACTCCAGTGAAGTAAGTACCACACGTAGCCAATGTTCAGAATAGATGACTAGTATACTGCATACTATTGGATATTGCTTCAATTCATTCGTCACACTAAAGACAATGTTCTCTGGTTGTTCACTGCCCATTTTGGCAAAGGCAGCAGGTCATCTAGGTATTTTACACATACTGTATAGTGTACATACCACTGTTGGTCACAGACAAGACAGGGGGTCTGTTAAAACTCAATGGGCTCAGGGGAGACAAGAAAGACTCCAGCTTTAACTTTACACTGCTGGACAGTGTTTCTTTAGAAAAACAAGTGATTTATAACAATTTTTTTGTTTTGTAATATTTGCATTATTTTTGTACTACAAATATTTTTTTTCTAATACAATATTTTGAGGAGGCACTGCCTCCCTTGCCTCCTCAAAGGAAATGAAGTATTACTATATGATAATTTGCCATTTGGAAACATATCCACATATTAACATGCAACATTAAATACAATAAGTCTCATAAGATACTGTATTCTGTGTTTAAGTGTATTCTTTATCATGGCATGGAGATTGATATTTGTTTGTAAGGCAATCATAAAACAGTCCTCGTTCATCTCCCTCCTACAGAGCTGCTGGAACTGTGGTCGCAAGGCTAGTGAGACGTGCAGCGGATGCAACACTGCACGCTACTGTGGTTCTTTCTGTCAGCACAAGGACTGGGAGAAGCACCATCACGTATGCGGCCAGGGCCTGCCCGGGAGTAGCAGCGTGCCACTCGGGACACCATCTACCACCTCCATCTCCTCCTCGTCCAGTGCGCCCCCCACACACTCCGAGAGCACCCCTCCAGGCCCCTTGTCCCTGGTGGGGCAAACCAGCAGCAGTGGCAGTCCCAAGGAAGCCAGCTCCAGCAGCGTTTCTCGCTCAACCACTCCAGCAACACCCGCCCTGATGGATTCCTCGTCCCGCTGACTGATGAACCCCAAATCTTAACCCATGCCCAGCCACGTCTACTGCTGCTACAGCATTCTTCATCCAAAACAAACTGAGGAACCTCCACCATACTTAACATCCTCTCAAAATGAACTACGGCAACCTGGCTTCCACATCTAAATTAAGATCTTGTTTTCTCAATCTCCAAAAAAACCATCAAGGCTCAGATTCCTTCACAAAAGGATCTACTGTGTTTAAAGGCACAATATGTAAGATTTTTTTATGAAAATATCCCAAAACCACTAGAACAGTGTTCTATATTTTGCTGACCTGTGTACTTAAATTATCCCAAATGTTTTGAAGATTAAATCCAGAGAAATAAGCAATTTTAACTAGTGTAACGGACCGTGTCCATAGTGTCATTGCATCGCCTGCCAATGACGTCATAACCCCTTGATTTTTCCGGTTTTATTTTGTTGAAAACATGGAAACCCCAAAGACACTTTAATATGTTATGCATTTTATTAGACAGGTGACGAACGCACAGAGTAGCATTATAACGGAACTTTCAATACACTCAAATGTATCTAGTATAAAACAGCGCTGTTTTACCCCACATACGCATGACCAGAAGAAGCAGAAGCAGTCGACTGTGGCATAATAAAAGCTCTGCTGCTATCGAGCCGTGTATCGCACTCGTCTTTCATTAGCAATCACTCCAGCGGCCTCGTTTCGCTTCCACGACTTTTAGCCCCACCCTGCTTCATACTACAGTGACCTTAATAAGTCTTTAATACATTAGCTCATCAATTAACATGATTTCTGCCCGAGTCCCGTCGGATTGCATCGGCTGTGGGGATGAAGACGACAACTCCCATGATTCCACACTCAGTCACGGCGTCATCATACTACGCCTTTGTTTCTTGCGACGAAAACTTACATATTGTGCCTTTAATGCAACATGAGCAGGGTCTGTTATACTGGATGCCACCGAGAAAGCCAGGAAAACACATATAGTTACACATTACATGTTTTATTCATGTATAAGACAATTTTAGGCATGTTACCTACACCCTTTAAGTGAGGTGAGCTCTGTGTGAATTGGGGTGGCACCATACTCTGAACATGTCTTGACCCAGGAAGGACTAAATATATAGTATGTAGGATGGATTCCTCTAAAATGACCGACAGCCGCCACTGCGGAATGTCAATAAAGGACAAGAGCACTCGGAATATCTTCCACCACAGAGCTACTTCCTCACAACATGACACACTGCATTTCATTTTTTGGCTTTAATTAAAGCAAAAGAAAAGTCCAAAAATCCAAAAGAAATAATAATGATGATGATTAATAAGAAGAATAAAACCTGTTAACTACCTTGCTAGCGAGCCAAGAAAATCTACACCAGACTCACCTCTCTGTACTGACGTGAACCCAAATGAATTTTAAGTGAAAAAAAAAGAACATGATCCAAACCTTTTTACTACACTGCCAAAGTTACTAAGAAGCACTCATCTTGTAACCAAACGCAAACAACTTCACCTCCTCAGCAGTAAAGCCAGCCCAGAGTTCCACAGTCTGTGGAGAGGTGGCATGGTGACTAGACACTCAAACCTTCACTGTGCCCACTGTGCTGCCCACTCAGATCCCGAGGAACGCAGACTTTAGCCCAGATCCATGGCTATGACAACGGAGGGTCGCACCTGGGATGTTTAAAGCACGTCACCCAGTCAGCCGCAAAGAGAAATGACATGAAAACTAAAGAGAAGGCGAGGATGAGTAAACAAAAAGAGACAGATTGGCCTCAAATGGAAAGACGAACGCAACGGAACTGCCAAAAACCTCATTGGATTGTACACTAAGAATGAGCCTTTTCTTGTAAAACATTTTCGTTTGGTTTTCCTAAAGCTCTCTGAATGCCGAGACATTTCATTTTGTTGTACGATTTAATTCTCCCTCGTTTTCCAAAGCATGACAAGACTGTAGAGTCTCACGAGACTGGCGTAGACTTGGTTCTCTTTTCTCTCGCTCTTTCTACCTCCCCCCCCCCATCTTCTGTATGTTCATCCCTTTTGTCTCCTGACAGAACCTCTAAGCAGATATCCATGAAGGGATCAAAAGTTACTTGTAGATATTACTTTCTGTTTCTGGATGTCTCTGTCTTCAATATCTGCTTGTGTGCGTACTCAGAACGAGGAACGCGTTCTTTCTTTGTCTTCTTTTAGGTTTCAGCCGAACATTGGACAGAAAAAGACATTCTAATGGGAGAAAAGCTGTGTTGTACCTATTGTTCGATTTGTTGTATCAATATTGATGATGAGAATCCTCATGTAGAATATTTTATATTGCTCGCATTGTAAGACAGTGAGAGAACGGAGGTGCAATATGAAAAGAGAATTCAGCTACTGAATGGAACCTCAGAAACAGCCCTTAGGGTATCTTATAATATAAATACACATATAAATATATCTAAAATTACCACAGTAAATTAATGTGAATGTACATAGTATTTAAAAAAAGAGGTCCAAAAATGAGTTTGCCAAATAACAGAAACCTTTAAAGTATAATGTCTAGAATTTAATTTCTCTCCATTTAATCTTTTCTGTCTGAATGATCATTTTACAACATCTGTTGTAACAGTGGAGGAGGAAGAGGTGTTCACATCACTGCTCGTGTAGATTACTGCCAGAGGACTCTGCTTATGGACATCAAATGGCATCACTTTAACGAAACCACAATAAGACTGACCTAGCTCGCCCCGCTGAAGTTCCCAGACTGGCATTTGGGAGAGAAGCCGCTAGAATCTGTGTGAAACATTGCCATCCTTTGGGCCAAAGTGTCACTGCAGTGGTCCAATGTGTAATTTGCACACACAAACACACATGCATGCACATACAATCTCAAAACCAAATCCTTGATTATCCATAGTCCAAGTGTCTGACGCAAGAATCAAGCAAACACTATCTGGTTCTCATCTGGTTTTGCTACAGTTCCCAGATTTTGCTTTGGACATCAGGTTGTGATCCAACATAGTGCCGAAACATAATCCGTATTTAATGTAGTCTGGATAATATCCGTAGAAGTTGCTGTGTGCACCGAGCAAGCTCTGCTGATCCCAACATTCATGTTCCTTAAGGGCTGTTCGTGACAGCAGTTACAACGGAAAAGACTCAGAGTAAAAATACTTTGAATTTTGCCACCAGCTTACACTTGCAACCCTGTTTACAGCCTTTGTTTTGGTCAGATATCATTTTCTGCAGTCTAATTGAAATGCCAAATTTTGCTGATTACGTGGCATACCTCTGATACGGACCAAACTTGAAAGGCCAGGTTTTTTTTTGGTGTTGCTTTAGGTGTGAAGTGGGTTGATGGTTTAACTTATCACGTGGCATGTGCTAATGATCTATCTTCCTATCGGATTTCTAAATTAATGTATGAACTGTTTACAGGCTTTGTTTTGGTCAGATATCATTTTCTGCAGTCTAATTGAAATGCCAATTTTGCTGATTACGTGGCATACCTCTGATACGGACCAAACTTGAAAGGCCAGGTTTTTTTTTGGTGTTGCTTTAGGTGTGAAGTGGGTTGATGGTTTAACTTATCACGTGGCATGTGCTAATGATCTATCTTCCTATCGGATTTCTAAATTAATGTATGAACTCATTCAGGAAATATCAGCAACACGTGATCTAAAAACCAGTGAATTACTAGAACACCAGTCTGATATTATAGGTCTCTCTCTCTCTCTCTCGCCCATTTTGAAGAGGATTTTTCATGAACCATCCTCTCTTTCCTTACTAGCTACCTCCTGTAAACAAATCCAAGGCAGTTTGAATGAATGAAACCACTAGCAGACATGCAAATCTATCATCCTGCCCAAGCTAAACAAGACATTTCAACATAGAAACTCAAAAAAATGATATGTATATTTTGTCCACATTTTCATGTCTATACAAGTGATGGGCCAACAAAGACCTGTTTTTTTTCATGGGCTGTTATACAACAAATTAAGCCAAAAACACTCTACAGAAGTACGTAGCGATGCAAAAGCATGCACTCTTGTGTTACTGTTGTGTTACTGCGGCATTAACCAAACTCAGTTCTCAAGGGTGTAAAGTAAAGTTAGTTTCAAATGTCTGTGCCGTTAAACCAGATGTGTTATTCAGGTAGCTAAACTTGGACAGTTGAAACCAACTTTAACTAAAAAACTTGCACAGCAAAATTCTCTTTAAACTGTTGCTCTGCTATGACTTTAGGTTACCTGTCTGTAGAAGAGTACTGACTGTAGAAAAAAAGTGTTTACATTCATGCCCGCTATGGCAAGTCTTAGAATTGTTGTGTCATGAACTGTCCTGACACATTCAGAATGCAACAATGAGTGAAATTGAGCTTGCGCCCTGAACATAAAAATATCTCGTAAATATCCAAAACGATAAAAGCACAGACCAAAGCATAACTGCACATCCATAGAAGCCGTTTGGACATTGCGTCGCCTAAAAAAAAGCAGCCTGAACGTGGGTGAGCGACTATACCCATAAACCAAAGTGTACAAAATGACCATGTTGAAAGCACAAGACAACAGTAAACACATTAAGAGAAGAAATCTGTACTTTAATTCCAAGCCAGGGGAGTGCTTGTTCCTGGCATCCAAAGCATCAGATAAGATTACAAATGCTTCTAACACTTAAACCAACCTTGCGCAAAGATTTCATTATGGGAATGCATGAGTGTGAGTGAGAGATTAAAAAAAATAGAGTGAGAGATACTTTCTATTAATGATTTTGCTAAGGAACTTACTTGAATCTCAAGAGCTTTGCTAATCCCATTAGCAAAGTTATGGTAGAGAACGTCCATAAACTCATATTGAGCTTTGCATGTCTGCTAGTCCAGAACTCATACGAATATATATTTGCAATATTTTTGGCCATTCTGTTCTTAACCAAAATCGAACCAAAAACAACACCATGCAAATGCATCTTTAACTGTGTGCTGTAATTCTTTGATAAGGTTATTTGGTAACCTCATTCTTTAGGGATTTTTATAGTCCACTTTTAACAAAATAAGCATTAGTTTTTCTCTCCCCCCCTCCCCCGTAAAACGATAACGATCCAATAAATGTAGTTTTGATAAAGATTAGGCCTACACAATATATACTGGGACTAGTTTTAGTTTACTGAGAGATCTTACTGAATTTTTAGAAGATCTTATTTCATTGAGTTAGGATTTGAATATAATTCTATATTCATTCAGGATTTTTTTTACCTCTACATCACTTAAGAAAAAAGAATCACCTCAAATCTCGATATATCTTATATATATATATATATATATATATATATATATATATATATATATATATAT